GGTATGAGTGATGAAATTTGTCCTTGATGTCATTTGCAATGGATTCCTTGTTGGTGAACTATCAATTTTTGGATACGAGTACTATATCAGAAATATTGAATAATTTGAATTTCTTCTTGGATTATGCATTATCAGATGAAAATGTGAGAGTTTCAGTAGGTGTGGATACCTTACTTGATAATTGTATTGAATCTGCTTACAAATATATTAAGGATCGTCAATATGTCAACAATCAGACTTCAAACTCTTATTATTTACATGCTGCACTCAAGAAAATATCCATGCTTCAAGCAAGAAGCTCTGCAATTGGAAGTTCTGGAAAGAGTAAGAAGGGTCCTTTCTTTTCTTCTGTTTTACATAGGAATACTGTATATGATTTCCCAAAATCTATTATTGACCCTGTTACAGAATCTAAAATAGTATTCTATTCTGATTTCTTTTCATTTGCTACTTTAAGTTCAACGATTGTGAAGAAACCTTTCGTTTCAGTACTGACCGTTTCGGATGATGTGTTTTCACTGAATAGTAGACTGGAAATGACTCATATATCTGAAAGTCAAACCACGTATTCGAAACTTATTTCTAGAATTGTGTCTATTGATTTCTCAGAACTGCCAGTTCAAGTAAATGGGAGTAAGATTTCCTACATCATTCCTTATAACACTACTGACAAAGAAGAACCAGCTCAATTTGCCAATTTAGAGTTACTTGAAAAGAACACAACTGTCACTTGTGGAGATTTCAGAAATGGATCACCAACCATCTTGAGAAGTGATTGCACATTACAAACAAGAAATACCACTCATGTGGTTTGTACATGTGTTAGTTTTACAAATGTCTTTGTTGTAGAAACTACAGTTGTGACCTATCATTCCTATGTCTATGTGGTTGCCATTGTAGTTTCTTCCATTGTAGCTTGTGTTTTATTCTTGCTGATTGCTATTGGTGTACTCGTCTCGATCATTAAAATTAGGAGAAACAAAGGAACAACTGCCAACAAACCAGAAACAGTAACAAATACTTCAACCTTCTCACTCAGAGTTCAGGAAGTTGAAATTGAAACATCATCCTATGGAAGGGGTCAAAC